CAAATATTCATTATCTCTTCAATTCATTTCTCGTAGTTATATTTTCTTTGATATAATTTACGCGTTGAAAATTCTTGAAGTTAAATTGCCCTTAATGTGTTAAAAATTTTAACGATTGTTAAAATTTTTAATTCACAAGATTACGCGTGATCTCAAAAGTAATTTACTTTGTTTTATTTCACTAATTTCTAAAAAATATTTTTTATTTTATTATTAGTTTTTTATTGTTACACTTTTAAAATACATCACTTTCTTTATTTGTTTCTCCAATATGTGTGTAAGATGTACATGTGTGTAGAATCATATCGTGGTTGAAAAATTCCGCGATTGGAAAAAAGCGGCGACCGGCGTTTCCCCGGCGATCGTTATCGCATACTTGCATAATTACAGCGTTCCGGCACACGTTTCAATTACCGTCACGCGATACCCGGTTTCTCGTTTCAGAGCAATTGCCAGCAGCTTTCAGTAACCCGATGTTACTTTTGCGCATACAGAAAGCACTCGGGAATAAATCGTCACGGCGAAAGAAAAATTCTCCTCCAAGTTGGCTTCGTTCTCATTTTATGTTTTACCTTTCTTTCTCGTTCCACGCGTGTCGCGTGCGCCACTTATCTGCGTGAAAACCAGCGCTCTTTCGCTTCTTATCCCGTGACGAAGTAAAACTTCCTCCCAGGAAAACACCGCACACTCCTTATCCCCGCACTATCATCATCACTGTTGTTAATTTCGTTGAATCTCGACGAGACCGAGTTCTGTGATTCGGAGAAAAACTTGTCAAAGAACTTTTTGCACTTGCAAAAATGTTTCTACTCGCAAGATATTTATTTGCCTGCAAACTTCCGTTGCGCGAGATTAATTGCAAATTAAGTCCGTATCAGTCTTCAATAGCGTTTCGAACTTTGATTTCACCGAAACGAGTGTATCTCGCTCTCAAAAGCAACACAAAAGTTTGGGCAAAAAAGTAGACTGCGTCGATCGTCTTACGTGACCGTTTATCGCACTAGCACAGAATTCACACACGGGACAAAATCTTCTTCACTGATCGCGAAGCGCAACTGATCAGAGCACCTTTTGAACACACTCGAAGGAGCGAAAATCGCCGCTCGGCCTCCACAAAAGAGAAGATCGAACGAGACGGGCTTTATCAAGACCGAAAGAGGTGCTCGCTGAAGATTCTGTGTTCGATCAAGCATCACTGTCGTCCGATCTTACACATAGTTAGACCTCCCTTCCCCCACAACTTCCGATTAGATTCGTCCGATTTGGTTTCGCTGGAAAATCCTCAATCGGTGTAGAACGGATTTTAGGAATCGTGCACACAACACAAGGAGCACAGTTTAAAATAAGAGAGAGACACTCCAGTGACGAAACGCGTATACAAAAAGAAGAAAACGCAGGAACCAACAAATTGGCACGGTAAAATCTTCCCTTTTACAAAGAGAGAGAGAGAGAGAAAGAAAAAAAGAACGGTCGTGCGCGGCGATAAAAACACTGACGGCGGAACAAGTGGAAGAGTCTCGCATCGAGCGGACGACACGTTTGGTAAGTAGAAAAAGTCAACGCCGTGTCCGGCCGTCGTTGTGGCGCGCGGCGAGCCACTGACTGCCTCCGCCAATTCCACGCCTTTCCCTGTCCACCCCTACTAGTCGCGCGCACCACCACCTACACAATCCATCCCCACCATTCGGGAGCTAGCCACCCTCTCAACGCACCCTTTCCTCAACGACCGCCGGCGCAAACGCCGCGACCCTCCTTCGTCTCTTCCGCGCGCGCGGAGGATTCGAGGCCACTGTTTCGGTCGTTCTATATGCAGGTCCCCGTCCGATGCAGTCTCGCTCCTCCTTTCGCCGAGAGAGCCTACGGGCTTTTCTACCACTTTCCATGACTTTACCTGTCCGTCCTCCGGCCCTGAGTTATAATTTAGATCTTAATCCCGAAAGAGCCCTTCCCACGAGATTGCGTATGTTTTATTAATTGGTCTATCAAGCGGAGTCGCGAGGGCCAATCTGTTAATTGATAATTATTCAAAGTAAGAAATTATTCGAGAATTTTTAACCGCGCGCTCGATGTAACCGCGATTCGAAAGACGCGTTTTCTCGGAGGAAAGAAAACAAAACAAATGCGTTCGAATTTATTTCACATCAAACGCGCGCTATTATTTTCACGCGTCGTCGGATGATGACGACGCGTAATCCCGCGACAAATTATCGCCAGGATCCGGCCCGCGCCGGAATTCCGCCTTTTCTTCCGTGTTTCTCTGTCGTTCCCGCGACGCCGTTTCCGCGCAGGTGCCGCCGCGACGCGCTGTTAATGTCGCGCGCCGGTAAATTGTATCGCGGAGGGAAACTTGATTGCGGCGACGACGCATCGACGAAATTGCGCGTTTGCACCGAAAATGGAGCCGCGTCACGAGTCACGATCGACCGTTTAACACGCCCCTTCGGCGACATTAATTCTGAAAATATACCTATAGCTACAATCGAGAGAGAAAACGCTCACAGACAGTGATTGCGTTTATCTACACAGTTGAACGTATACGAAGTAAAGAAATAATGAGAAAAAATCGTGTTTGCTTCACTACTTCCGGTTAATTTCGAGCTCACTGCTCTTAGGAAGACCTCTTATCTCGAGGGTCAGTGTGCGTGACACTTAACTTTGCGCTCGAAACTTCGTGGAAGACATTGACGTTCGATTAAACTCCGGCGGAAGAAAAACTCATTCGGCGCTCCCGGTCATCGCTCCGCGCGCCGTCCAACATCACGTATATATATATGTACGCGGTGCAAACGACGCTTCAGGTTGGGCGAAGAATATGGATGTTCGCGTTGAAGCTGGTTTGAGTTCAATCTAGCGGATGACCCGGTTTCCTACCTGGCGATTCGTAAAAAAACGAAGAAGAGAAGGTCGGCTCGCCTTAAAAAAAGCAACACGTCGTTACGTACACGGACGAAAAACGACCACGAGGAGGAGTCCGACGCGTCCAATCTCGAGGATGTAAACGGGTTTATCGAGGGGATGAGGCGGCAGCCTCCCCTCAAAGCCCTCCCACTCGTCGATACATGACGACGACACCGTCACGATGTAAATTACGCTCGAAAACGGGTCCGAAAAGGTTTCCGTACATGCGGATGACCAAATGAATTGTCGCGTTTTATACGGATGTATTCGATGGTGCGCACACGAATCTATTGCATTATATTGAAGAGTTCCGCGAACTCTTCGTCTTTCTTTCGCGGTCGATCACAGAGAAGCTCGATTAGCTATGCTAATATGTCCTTCTGGCAACATCGCCGACTTTTCTACTTTTCTGTCGCAGCATGGAATTGCTCCTTGGGGTGACGGAAAGTTTTCGCTTTCGTCCTGCTACTTAATCCGAAAATATGCAAGAAATACGCGAACTAGAAAGAGGTTTTTTTCCTTGACTTGAAGAAACGAAGTAACATATCACTAACAAGCATCTTGAACATAACTTTTGCGTCGAGATAGAATTTCCGTGTGAAACGCGTAAAAAAAAAAAAAAAAATACAAAAATTTCGAAAGCTAATTTCGGGTCCGGCGTTTCGCCGATGGCGACGTTCAAAAGAGGATAAACGGAGATGGCAAGTGGCGGACAATACAGATAAAGTGGAATCGCAATACGAAATAACAGCGGACGCAACTTGTCGTTTGTTGTCTCCCACTTATATGCGTATAAAGTAACAAAATACAAGCGGCTGCACCGGCAAAGCGCATATGCGCAGCGAGTGTAGACTTTGAGCTTTCGCCAAGCGGATTATTACAAAGCTTGCATGTAACGATGTCGTCGGTAGAGTCCGGGAGAGCGAGAAAGAGAGAGAGAGAGAGAGGAGGGAGAAGAAGAAAACGTTATACCTATCGCTATGTACATACTATTTATTGTTAACATAATTAGCGTAACTTTCCGTGACATTCAACAGCGCTCGTGCTGTTTCGAATCCAGCAAGAATACACGCTCTATGAAACTAACACAAGCAATTCCACGATAGATTGACGATTATTTCACGCGTTTATTTGTCAATTAAACAGAACAAAGAGACGACGTTAGACCTCGAAGTGCACGTGCACACCTATGTCCGCCGAAATGAAACTATTACCGCAGCTGTACGAAAAGTCACAATGATAAAGCGCCACAATAGCTACTCGAATTCACATCACGCGGCTTGTATCATCATTTGCATTGGAGTTTAACGTCAAACGTTCAATGTCAAACGCCGCGTCACGCACCTATGCGATTCTGTTGCGCGCGATCGAATATTGTATCTATCTGCCACCGCTTAGGACAAACATAATTACCCAATTTGATTTGATCTAGGAAAAAACGCTGTATCATTTACTTTGTTAACTTTTACATTGAAAAGAACCAAAACCAATGGTCAAAACATTTGTTGTAACAAGAACGTAATTAATACACATTAATATTAGAATTACACACACTTCCAACCGTGTGTATGCTCATACAGGCCTGATCTTACTTTGTTTTCCTTAAAAAATGAGCATTATAACTACACAGTCTTTGATAATTTTTACTGTTAAATTAGTATATTGCGAGAGATGGCTGTGTAGCAAGAAAGGTAACGATAGTAAATTAAAAACGAAACAATAATCATCGTATCCGCGGCAAATTAATAATGATTTATTAAATCGTAATTTTAGTGATTATTTACCATATATAATTTAGTAAATTGCTCGAGGATTGCAAAATTGTTTTTAATTTAAAATAAAAAAAAACTAAATATAAAAATTAAATATAAAACTAAATATGACAAACTAAATATAATTTAATTAGTAATAAGTATTTACTAAATATAATTAAAACATACCGTAATGTTATATGATTTTGTGATACAAAGTGCTCCAGAAAAATTTTTATGCGATAACAAACCGCGAATCAAAACAGTTTGAAAACCACTGGCAAGTACAAAGTGTAAAATGCAAAGTTTGAATGCACACACATAAAACCTGAGCACATTGTAATCTGACGATTATTACTGAGCTTTGATAGTTAGCTTTAGTACAATAGTTTCCATCAGTAGCTGCGCCGATATCGTGATTCAAGCAAATAACATAAATTCTTAATCAAATCGACTATCTGCAAGATTGCCAGTTTCTCTTCATCATGAACCTCTTACAAGATTTTCAATATCACTGGACAGAAAACATGGGTGAGCGTTCTATCAAAGTAATGTCACAAATCTCAACGACAATGCAAAAAAGACTTTATTTAATGGATATAAATAAGAGTTGTTCCGTCTAATTTTTGATTTGCAAACTTTCTCAAGTAAAGGCTAAAAAATGGTAAAACAATAGATGACACATAATGTATAAAATGTGCGGAGCATGAATATTAGCGTTACGCAAAATTGACGATATTGTGCGAATAATTAATAGAATTAATAGAATTATTAGCGATATGTGAATATTGTGCAACTTAACAAATCGTAATTGTGCGGAGTGTAAAGTTTAATCCATTCAGTGAGCCCTGCTATTTTGGATAGCACCGCGTCAACTCGATTACATCCGAAGATATTTAAATACTAATCAATCCGCATCATGTCTTTTCAATGATCCGATTGCTTTTTATTAATAATGGCAAAGTAATATTTTATTTTCTTATTTAACACACGCTAAAAGATAGAATTTTTAATATAATGAAATTTTCAGATCCACGGGTAGTCGATTTACCATTAATTGCCTCTTCCTATTACGTGCCATTAGTAATATTTTCTTATCTATATTTCGTGCTTCGCTGCGGACCACGATTCATGAAGGACAAACCGCCATATTCGCTCAAGACATTTATGCAACTGTACAATATCATTCAAATATTGGCCAACTTATATGTGGTGTACGATTCTATCGTTGCTGGTCTGTTCACAAACACGAAGCTATTGTGTCCGAAACAGGAATTTTCCTACGATTACACTCTACTAAGGGTAATCAATTACAATATAACATTAGATTATACAATTATTTTTGGTGACCAATCCGTACCGGTTTTATTGAAATAGATTCCGATTTTTAATCTTCTCAATGTTTTATACAAACGTTTTATACTTTTATACGTGCAATACTAAACTACGCGTAGAAATGTAATAGCTCTTTGTCTCCAAGCTCTTTGAGCTGCTCTTCGTGTTCTGCGGTTTTTTATTTTTTGCTTAGCAGTAGTGTTCCGAAATTAGCGACGGAAAATCTGGTCATCAATTATGTGTTTCGAATAGAATGACAAAGCGAATTACTGACGTTCGAATCGATTGACGCAGATAACTAGGAGGAGCATGTATTGGTATTTTCTGTTGAAAATACTGGACTACGTTGAAACGGGCATGTTCGTGTTGCGAAAGAAAAACAAGCAAGTGACCGGATTGCATTTGTATCATCACGTGTCCACATTGTTATTTTCATGGTTAGGCTTAAGATACATGTCGTTCGTTCCGAGTATGCTCTTCGCTATAGCTAACAGCAGTATACACGTAATTATGTATACTTATTATTACCTAGCAGCGCGCGGACCAAACGTACAAAAACTTATTTTACCTTTGAAACCATGGATAACTAAAATGCAAATGGTAAGTGTAATTGGCATTATTTTACATTGTTCGCGATAGGTTCATTTCTTTCATTTTCATTCACATTGTTTTCTTTGCTATGTATATAAATGTAATTATTATTTGAGTAACTATTCTAAAATTTTAACATTTTGCACTATTTCGTGATTTATCGCGCAAATCGAACATTACTAAGCTATTTAGGAGCTTTCCAGCTCAAATGCAAATTGAAATTTTTAAGATTTGCATTTTTCGTCGCGTTACGATGCAACTTCTTACAGAAAAGTGTGGATTCTATAGCTCAATAGTCTTACTTGGCAGTATTCGCAGTTTTGTAAATAGCTCGTAAAATACTTACGCAATATTGAAGATATAAATATTTTATTGCAGTGCTAATCGCGTTTTATTTGCAGATACAATTTGTCGCACTGATAGTGTACTCTACACAAAACTTCTTCCCCGGATGTAAAATGGCGCCGCACTGGGTCGCTGTAATTTTTATCACAAACTTAATAATAAATTTCTCACTGTTTTATAATTTCTATCAAAAAGCGTACAACAAACACAAGAAGATCAAGTAAAATAAACAATCCAAAAAATGTTATGTTTTTACATAAATGTGTAAGCTATTGTACTTTTAAACAAAAAGCTATTTTTAATAATTTATGAATTGATTATAGACACCATGTATGTTAATGTAAAGAAAAAAGTAAAGAGATGTGCGAGTTCTCGCTTTAACAAATGAGACAAAGCAGGAAAGTTGTCTCCGGAATGTATAGACTAATTGAAATAAAACAACTTTAACAAATTTCAGCTCAGCTTGAATCTATTTTTATTGATAAGAATAAAAATAAAAAGATCAATATCAAACAAAACAAGAAATTACATATATTTAAAAAAAATTACATAAATACGCAAAAATTAAATGATAACGCAAAACGTTTCGAGCTTTTTCATTCCCATGAAATTTTTTGCTAAGTATATTGCGAGTAAGTGACTTATTGTTGTTAATCGCGCGAGCGCGAATGATATTCGCGATCGGTCTAGCTGTTGCGATCAGCTGTTAGCAAGGTCGCGCCATTGATCTAGATATAAAATTAAAACAAGTCGCACGAGCAACTCAATTGATCTATTACAGAATTTTGCCTTTGCAAAGCAGAATAATAACTGTTATGAAGCACTAGGGGGGACTCAAAAATATCATTTAAACTCACTTCAATAATTTTGTTTAAAACATCGCAGTTAATTACAGATTTAATTTTTGTCTGTTATGAACGTTCCTGTGTAAATATTCATAAATGTACAATTTATTTGTTGTCTTTCTGTTCAATTTCACTTTCTATTTCTTTTGTTTTCTCTATTTATTTTTTTTATTTTTTTATCTGCATTCTTTCAGTAAATAATTTTTTTATTAATTTTTTTACAGAAAAAAATCACAAAAAATATGAAAAAATTTTAATTGTTTTTTTTGTAATATTGCAATATTTATATTCTTTGTATGAATTCTTTGTATACAGAAAACAATAATAATATAAATAACAATTAAAAACAGAAATAAACAATATCTATAATATTAACTGGTAAATAATTAAGTTTATACAGAAGAAACACAAAAAGAATTTTAAAGAATTAAAGATAGATTTATATGCAATCGAATCATATAGAAGAGAGAAAGAAGAGCATCCAGAGGAGAAGAGAAAATCTCCTAATTCGGCGGCAATCGAATCTTTTCAATTTTCTTGGTATATTTCTTTTCGTTTCTTGTTTTTTTCGCATTAACACTTATCTCGACTTTTAAAAACCTTGTATATTTATAACTTCTTAATGAATAATAATTTGAAAAATATTATTGTTTCATGAATACACGTTGTCTCTGATATCAATTCGTAATCTGCGTTAAATAGTTCTAGACAGTATCAGTGAACTGTCTTCCGACGAACATGACGTACGTCGGTTGCACATGCTTGACAGTTAACGTCAAACTTGGTGAATCGGAGAGCGACATTTTAGATTTATGCTCACGAAATATTCGGTATACAATACCACTTTGTTAATACTACGAATACAATTCGTTACGTACAGTATATCTTACAATCAAACAATGATAAAATTCTTAAAATTTAATAATAAATAAAGCACCACTTAAGAATAAAAAACTTCCATGATTAAATCCTTAGAATAAAACTCATAAAAGGAAGTCCACAAAGGCAATCCTAGCAATGTAAAACAATATAATAAAAAAGGCAAATTTATTCATTTTATTTGTGTAGGTAAGTGCAAAAGTTTGTGTCTGATTTATCATTAAAACTCAAGCAATAATTTGGCAAGTAAAACTTTTTTATTAATATCAATTGGCAAAGCATTTATATCAAATATAGTATATAACATAACTATACATTTAACATTCGAAGATGTTTTTTGTTTACATTACAACAAATATGTACCAGGCTGTTCTACCCAGATAAATATAGAGATATATAGATTTGATGTAGAAAATATTTCACAAATGGTTTTATAAACTTTGCTATTCTTCAAAGAACATTTAAAGAATTTTATTGTGACATTTGTTTTTGAATGAATAAAGATTTTAATAAACAAAATTATTACAAAACAATAAATAAAACTAAATATAACTTAACATTTTGTGTATATACAGTATAACATACATTTCCCTTTACTAACTACTTTATTTAGGAATATGAATCGGGAAATAAAATTAATACATTTTTTTTAAACTCAACTAAACTATATTTTTGAAAATATTGTTTACTGTATTTGATAGTTTCACTTTAAAAGTATAAAAATTAGTTTTATGTGTGAAAACAATTACAAAATGTGCATAAATGATTTACAATCTGTTCTATTAAATATATCGTCTAGAGTCTAAGAAATACAAAATGTAACCATATAATAAAATTTAGATCTTTTATTCTATACTATATGTATATAACACTTAATATATTATTATTATGCATCACACCATTTTTTTCACATATCTCAATAAAAATGAACAAAATGACATCTTGATATCAATTTCTTTTTTTTTTTAAGGTTTTTTCTTGTTATAAGTGTTTCTATAAAAATTATAAAACAAACATAGATATACTAATAAATTCGCAGAAAATATAGGTATAATGTGCGTTATTTTTTCTGACACTATACAATGTGGAAGTGCTGATTGCAGTACATATAATATCAATCCAATAAACTGTACCTGTAAGTTTGCAAAAAAAAGTATATAAAATAATTACATATATTCCTTATACAACATTATATATGCATTACTTATAAAAGGTAAATTATCAACCTAAATTTTAATATATACTTTTCATAAATATAAACAATTAAAATAAAACTTAAGCAATAGTTAAATAAACGTAAACAGTAAATATTATTATTCATGTGTGTGCTTAAAGTTTAATTATAAAATGTAATATATATAAAAATATACGTGTAAAAATACATAAATAAAAAAAAATATATATATATATATATATAACTATAGGTGTGTGTGTGTGTGTGTGTGTGTGTGTGTGTGTGTGTGTGTGTGTGTGTGTGTAATACATATATATTAGATCCCCAAAAAAGTTTTTCGTTTTTTAAGCGTCACCTTCAAATATACGCAAAGATGTTGATAAAAGGATTTATTCACTAAAATACTTTTCATCGCAGTTTATAACTTATCTCTTCTAGCGAGCGATAAGTTTATAAATACTACTGTAAAAGAAATGATGTTTAGAGGCAAAGAAATTGTTCAACTCTTTTTATAGTTTCTCTCGCGTTCTGAATTGTTCGAAGTGGCTGGCATTATCACGTTATATCCAATCCTCTAGATATACTGATTTATTTTCATTCACTATACATTGTATCAATCATTAGGTCTTGTCACATGTTTTCAATAATATATAATAATATATAATATACCGTTCAAACTCACCAAAAACAAAAAACTGTTTTGAGGAATTTCTATATATATAATAACTTGCCATTTGTAGTCTAGTTATATAAGGTTTGAAAGGAGATACTACTTGTTGAAGTTCTTGGCTCCATCCAGCAATAAAATAATATATGTACATGATTACGTGTATAGAACAATTAACCAAAGGTATCAGTGTCGCTCTTTCGTCTAGAATATATTTCAAATAATACCATGCAAAAAACACAACAGATATATGATGATACACGTGCAAAAATGTAACTTGATTTTGTTTCTTTCTCAATACAAATACACATGTTTCAATATAATCGAACATTTTTAGTAATAACACCCACCACATAATATTAAACATCTGAAATGCAAATTTGTTATATATGTAAATATTATGTATAAATGTTATTCCTTTTTTAAGAGACATAATACTCCAATAATAATTAGCTTATATTTATGTCCCTTAAATAAATTTAACATATTTTTTCTTAG